TTATGACAGTTTCCTATGAAATAACTTATTCCGAATACAGACCCACAATAATGAAACACAAGATAACCAAAGGTATTGCTAAATATATATGTAACGTATTTTTTTTTTATATATATATATGTAACGTATTTGATTTTTTATATATGTTTTCACATTCGCCGCTTTTTATTGACTTCTTAAACCAGCCTATCTAGTAACCGGAGTTATGAGAGTGATATGTATTATATATAATTATTATACTTTCATGTTCAATACTTGTACTAAAATCTGATTGGTGTTGACGCATTTAGCAATCCGTAATGTTACCCTCGGCGTTAGCAACACACTTGACAACGGGTAACACAACGAAAATGGCACATGTCACATTAACATGTAAGCTCTAACACTTAAAAGTGCCTCGAATTATTGTTGACGTCACCCGATTTGGCTTAATTGAAAACAACAAACGACAGACGAAAAATGCTTGCAAGTGCAGAAATAACAAAACTTTGGATGATAAAGGACTCTTTGAGTATCAAACAAACAAACAAGAGGTTGGTAATTTTTTTTCTAATCTTTCTTATTGAGAAAAACAGAATTATCGAGGAGTTTGAAAACTATTTTTCTCAATAAGAAAGCTTCGAAAAAGATTTACCGACTTCTTTATTATTTGTTTGACGCTCAGGGTCCTTTATCATCTAAAGTTTCGTTATTTCTGTTTTCGCAGGCATATTTCGTCTGTCGTTTGTTGTTTTCAAGTAAGCTACATCGGACGCAAGCTTTTATTGACGTCAAGTTTATAAGGCTTCTTTCAAACGCACAACTGAGGTTTTGAGAATTCTACTGTGAACCGTACGCGCATAAGTGGAACGCATGTAACAATTTCGTTGTGTTACCCGTTGTCGGGTATGTTGCTAACGCTGAGGGTAATATTACGGATTGCTAAATGCGTCTAAACCAATCAGATTTTAGTATTTAATATGAAGGTATAATAAAATAAAATACCTCACTTTAAGTTTTATAATATTTTTTTCGTTAATGTTTAGCGAAATTAAACTTTAAATGTTAATTTTGTAACACGTGTTCGAAAGGAAAGGTATGTGTTTTTCATTATGAACACAAAAGTTTTCTTGTTTTATGTAAATAGAGTAAGTTAAAAGTTCGAAAATATGCTTTATGAGAGCAAGTATATACTAGGGGATGTCATTTATTGTACCGCTTTGGATCTTTCCTGAATGTTTCGATTCTAAATATTCCCAAAACAAAGGAGGGCAGAGCTTGTTATCAAAATTTTAGTAAAAAAGAAACCCATTACATCTGACATTTTGAATAAAATCTTGGATAATTTTCCACAACTAGAAATTTTCTATAAATCAAGATTCATATGCATGTTATTTTTAGATTATGCTTGTTTCATAAGGTATGATGAACTTGTTTACATTAGGATGTGTGACATTCAGTTTCAGAAAGTTTCAGGAATGTCAGGTGAAATTAGAGTTGAAAAAAGAAAAAAACGTATATTGTCAGACAAGGTATAATTTAACAAGGTAATATTATGGTGATAGCGAGAACAAGTAATAAGTTTTGTCCAGTTTGAAAAACACATATGCATACATATGCTGGTCTTGATTCTTTTTTTTTAGGTCAAATGTCAAATGAGTTTTTTTAGACTGGTTATCTTTTCTTAAAAGGACAATATTTACAATTTATGTAAAACTGTTGGTGTTGATTTTAAAGAATAAAGAGATGTAAGGAAGCAACTGCAGCAGGATTTTATATTATTTAGTCAGACTATTTCAAGTTCATGTCAGATAGCGTTTGGAAAACCTAAACGACGGATACGTTTTAGATACACTGTAGCTTATTCAATAAAACTTGCTTTTACTTTGAATCTTGGATTATGATATCTTTAATTTCTTTTGCAGGTTAATATATTCTAAACATTTGTTGTCGAACTGGATTATAGGTACTCAACACATTCTATATCTGTGTTCTGTTGTTTACTCTCTAAGGTACTCAAATTAAATATATTTTATTTTTGGATGGGTGAAACGAAGAAGAACATATGCAATACTTAACAGAAGGTGTTTTAAATCATGTTTTAAACAATATGCAAGCCATAAATATTTTTATTCTCCATATCTCAAAAACGGGAAGAAAAGTTTTAACAAGGTTGTTGGACAAAATGTCTTTAGAATCGAAAGGGCTATTTATATGACATCAAGAAAAGGGGCTGACCCATCGCATAAGGGGTCCATAGGGACTGAATTTTTAATTCTTTATTAAGTCTTTAGCGATCAGTTTTTTGTTCTACGTCAGAGAAAAATTTGTCGATTTAAAAGATCTCTTACTACAGCTAGTGATACCTTGATCGCATGTTACATAATTTAAGTCTTTAGCTAGGGACCAAAATGCTACATCTTTAATCTTTATTAATATTGAGATTTTTTGAAAAGCATTATCAGTAATAATTAGTATAAGTTAAGAACAATGTTCTTAAAACACCAGGTGGTATTTTTCAGTCAGTATCTATGCTGGAATATCTCAATGAAAATCATATTTCATTTTAACAAAAATTCCCGTAGGTTTCAAAATAGTATTCATGAAATGTAACGTCTTGGCACTCTGTCGTGCTGACAGCTTTGTATATACGCATATGCAAATTCGAACAACGGAACAAAGAGAGTGAAGAACGCAGATATTTTTTAAAATAACAACCTTTCAAACAAAGAAGAATAAAACGCTTGACAGGTAGAAAAAACAGATCAATATCAGCTATTCATGCGATTGGTGTTCATAGCGACAGTCTGTGTTTGGGTTTATGGGTTTATCGACTAGAAGCTCTCCAGATTTCGCCACCAAAGAGTCAGGTAAAATAATTTCAAGTCGTTATAATTACATAATTACAGTCGTTATTTTTTCTATCTTTTAAAAAAATTCAACCAATATATATATATATATATATATATATATATATATATATATATATATATATATATATATATATATATATATATATATATATATATATATATATATATATTCTTTAAAAAATGAAAAATTAACCTTTTCGTGTAAGCATTTCTTGTTTTTAAGTTCCAAGTCTTTCAATGGAATACTTTCCGTACCTCGTACTGCATACATATGATTAAATTCATTGTACATTAAGGTGGTATGGGATACCAAACGAAACTTCTCCTACATATTTATGTACCCAAATTAGAAGGATTTGAAATACCCCCACCTTTCAGTATATGAAAGTGTAATTTTAATAATTTTTTTATTATTTTAATGAGAAATACAAAAACGATTTTTTTTTGCATAATTCTTTTTTCATAAGCTTAATATTATAGGCAGGTGTTTGCTAATATAAAGTGTTTATAAAAACAAAAATGACAAGAAATATGTCTTAGTATTTTTTTAATTTTCAACAAAAATAAGCGTAAAAAACTGGGAAAACTTTATTTCGTGAAAACAGACGGATAACATTTCATGAAAGTCTACAATAAGAATGTATCTTAATATGTTAGCAAAGTGAAATAAACAAATTGAAAATATATATATAAATGGAAAATATAAAATGCATTTAAAATTTTTTGAATTAAAAGATCCGAGCGGAAGAGTTATCCTTCTTTATTTTCCAAGGGTTGAAAAAACCTGGGTGCTATTTTAGAAATGATGAGCATTTTTTCCCAACCATAAAAAAATCGCAATTTGTAGTTTTCAACTTTGAGCGGTTTTGAAAACAATGAATGCATGGACAATCGCTTTCCAGGACGTGTCTTGTTCAGAGCAATTACATTCATCTGAACGTTTTGGGACTATATACAACAGCTAGCTGATTTGTGACCAAACAGTTACTTCTTGAATTAAATAACAAAAAAGTCCAGCTCTGGTTAACGTGATAATTGATTGGTGATAATTCAGCACAATGTGAAGTAATCGCACTTATCCATGCCTCACCGCACACAAGGTGCTGTACAGTTACTCAAACAATTGAAATACAGCTTCTGTTTAAAAGTGTTCAAAAGCAGCAATGTTGAAACTACCTTTTACAGGGGTTTGCCTTTTTAAATGTCCGTTGTACAATTATAAGTAAATTTATATACTTGCGATTTTTTTTGTCTGTTTTTACTTAAAATGCCGACTTGTGAGAACTTGCATTGAAATAGGCTTCAGAGTGTTCTTTTCAACGGTGTATCTACAAATTTTGACCCGGTAATAAGCACTCATGCAAATCAAAACAATACTTCAAACGGAAATACGTCATAACGTGGAGGTATCCCATACTACCTTAATTGACATTCAGTCATTTTTTTCAATAAAGTCTTTGATATTTGTGCTAATTTTCTCGGATAAATTTTGATTTTTAATCTGGAAAAATATAATTATTATCATTTTAAGCTTTGTTTTACGTTTTTTGTTAGAATCTTTTACTCATATAGAAACGTCATCATATACCGGGGAAGGGCTTCAAATCTAGATCTTTACTAAGCACTCAGGGTCATCGAGAAGTAAGGTTTTTTTTTATCGTGCTCATACCTAACTCGACGTGGGACCTCGGGTTTTGAAAGTATCATTCGAAAGTCCCGTGACTTTCACTTCTAATGCCCGGCGCTTAGCAAAGAAACATTCACTATCTAGGATGCTGTCTTAAGCATGACGCAGTGCTTCGAACGAGAATCGAACCCAGGCCTCGCGATCACTAAGCGGGCGCCATACCACTAAGCTATGGTAACCAGTAGGGAAAATTTAACAAAACAAAATCTGTTAAGTTTTTTCAGATAATTTTTATGTCTGTAAATAATTTTAGAACCAAAAGTCTCTGACAAGACTATATTTAGCTAAATATGGGAATTAAAGAATATAATAATTAATGAAAATAGTATTTAATTAACTGTAATATTTTATCTTGAAAAAAAAATGCATGTTATATTCTTGTTAACCTTTATCTTAATTTATTCAGCATTCACAACAAATTAATGTTGAATTTCTATTTATTCTAGACATAACATTTAATTATGGAGCCCCGTATCAGTGCCCAGGACGTGATGAAATGTAACATGTGTGAGACCGCTGATGCAAAGATACGGTGTGACTCATGTCTTGTCAATCTGTGTACGACTTGTGTTGGAACTCACACAATCTCTGATGAATCCAAAAAACACGTATTTGTTAAATTTCAGTCCAGGAAATCTTCCCTCTATCCTGGATGTATACTTCATGGTTATAAACAATGTGAAACGTACTGTAATCAATGTGACATTCCTGTTTGCAACACTTGTGTGGCATCTGATCAACATATTGGTCATGATTTATTGAAAATTTTGCAAGTTCTAGATGATAAAAAGAGAAAGATTATTGAAGAACAAACTAAATTAAAGGAGACAATTTATCCAACCTACCAGGACATTGCCTCTGATGTACAAAACAGAATGAGTCAGTTAGAAAAGGAGCATGAGGATCTCTCAACAGACATAACAAGTCATGGAGAAGTATGGCACAGAGAAATTGACAAACTTCTCAAAAAACTTAAAGCTGAAGACGATGAGATAAAAAACGCACAGTTACGAGTTCTACAGAAACATCTGGATGAAATAAACAAGAAAGTGTCTGACATCAAGGATGAAATTGATTCAAATGATATGACTATAAACTCTAAAGACATATCAAAAGTGTTTAGTGCCAAAGTCAACGTAGACAGGTACACAAAGCTTCCAAGAAAACTTGTGCCATCTTTACCAGAATTCATACCTGGAAGAATAGATGAGGAAGAAGAATTACGAAAAATTTTTGGAGCCTTATCACCAAGTTCTTTAATATCAGAAGAACATGGCTACAGCATGAAGACAACACAGAAATCACTAGAAGTAGGATCTTCTACTCCAGTCAAACAACTGCTTGATGAACCTGAGACTGTAACCACCATTCGCACTCGGCAAATTTACCTTTCCGGTGTTGTCTGTCTGAATGATGAAGAAATCTGGACAAAGGAGAATGGCAGTATTATGAGACTATATAGCATCAATCAGGGATCAGAACTCAAGGCATTTAGAACCAAGTCAGATCGTATGCCTGGAGGCATAGCAGTGACCAAGAATGGAGATCTAGTTTATACTGATTATGATGGTAGAAGCGTTAACATTGTAAAGAATGAAGAAATAGAAGAGGTGATCAAGCTACAGAAATGGAAACCACGCAATGTCTGCAGTACCTTCTCTAGTGACCTCCTGGTTATCATGGACAGTGATGATTTCAGAAAATCAAAAGTTGTCCGTTACTCTGGCTCCACAGAGAAACAAACCATTCAGTTCGATGATATTGGTAAATCTCTCTTTTCATCTGGTTTTCTTTACAGACATATGATAACTGAGAACAGGAACCTGGATATCTGTGTGTCTGACAATGGAGCTAAATCAGTAGTAGTGGTCAATCAGGCCGGGAAATTGAAATTTAGGTACAAAGGACATACTCCTGCTCCAAAGAACAAACCATTCAGTCCACGAGGAATCACCACGGACAGTCTGTGTCACATTCTTACAGCTGATCCGTTCAATGATTGTGTCCACATCATAGACCAGGATGGACAGTTCCTCTGTTTCATAGACTGTGAACTGAGTGAACCCTGGGGACTATGTACAGATACCAATGACAATCTGTTTGTTGCCCAGCGTTCAATGTTTGATTCGCGTGTGAAGAAAATCAAATACCTGCAGTGAAATCAATATCAGGCCGCATTATTCTTGAGCATTTCTTCGTCAACTTTTTACTGACATTAGCCCTACCATGTAAAAGTTCAACCAGACGCTCGGCTTTCTCCGAAGAGACACATAGAAATAATTTAGGGTAAGAGAAAAATGGCGTGGTAAAAAAGGAAATATTGATGAAATATTTATCGACGAAAAGGTATCTTTATAAACCAGGATCACAGAAATTGCTACAAAGATTTAATTTTATGTAAATAAACTCTGTTCAGAATTACTACGGGCCAATAAAATCAGATTAATGCCAAAAAAATCTATGGGTTGGGTGAAAGCGGTTAATATAATTTTGCAATCAACAAATGACTTTGGGATCCAGTTTAACTTAAGTTTATTAGAAATCATCAATGATGGTATACGTAACCTGACTGACAACCGTTTCTTTTGCTATATTGATTACACTTTCAAATATATATGTATAAAACAAATGTGGCGAAAATATGCATTTTTTTAACAAAAGGGGAATCCATCGGGTTCTAATTTGTTGTAGAGCTTATAGCATAGGAAGAAACCCGTCAACACATGTTTCCTCCATATCAATTGCTTTTTCTAAGATATATTCTATATATTAAAAATATCTAAAGATTTAGTCCATGATAGCATTTTTTAAAAATTACTAACTGTGGTGGAATGTTAAAAGCCTTTCTGTAGCCTAGAATTGTAGATTACGGAGTTGATCCTTTCGTCGTGATTCATATTTTTCGGGGCGTGGTCATAAGTATGAGAATGGAATTTGAAGTCCTATTTCGAAGTAGGTGTATGCACAAGATATCCCTTATTGCTAATTAAGTGCCGAGTACAGTGTGCAGTGAATTTTTTAAGTTTATATTGTGATATTTTGGCGTCATAAAGGGTACATGTTTGAATATATAGAGAATAATAATAGATAATAATAATGTAATATAATAGAGGGCTGATATTGGTCGAGGGCTGATACATGATGCAATATGGAAAAGGGTATGTTGTATTATGTTTATTACATACTTCGTAGTAATTACAGCACACATCTTCATAAGCTAATACTAATACTGAATAATCGCTAACTACTTTATCATATCAAAGAACAGTAACTTAAAATTAAGAAAATGTAAGCAAAAAATAGTTTTAATATTAAAAGTACTCTTCTTTTAAGTTCAGTCTACAAGAGGTGGGTTTAATTTAAATCCGTATCAGTCCCTCAGATACATGCTGATATGGCTACTGTGACGTCAGAATTATCGCAAATGCAAGAAAAAGTGTATTTAACTATGTTTGTTTGTATGTATGTATGCATATATGATTTAGTTATGCATTGTTTTGTGTATTTAAGTATGAAAATTATCTAAAAATGCGTTATTTACAGAAAAATGGAAAAAGGGCAAATATTCATGAATGTTGGTAATGGCCATTAATTGGCGTAGAATTATATTGTTTGGATTGTACATTAAAAAAAATTTGAATTCGATATAAATAATTACATAAGCCCATTTAGGACCTTTCAAAAATATTTTTGAAAGCGATTATGTATATGTATGAATACGATATTAAATTGTATTCTATTGAGAGAAGTAAGTCCCCTTTGCCATTCACCTTTCTTTACTGTAAATAATGTATTTGAAAGGCTTAAAGAATAAGAGAATTCTGCAAGTTTTTTTTATTGTAAAATACAAAAAGTATTTTGATAGTTTTAATGACCATGAAGACTTGTAAATAATAGATAAATAAAAAATGAGACAATAATAATTTATCCTATCAAATGTTCTTTAAAGACCAAGAGAGGCCAGTGTGAGAGTGTGAGAGCACTATTGTTTTGTTAATAGTCTGCATGGTGATAGCGATAAATAGGGGCAAGTAGAATTTACTTTAGGAGATGCTACGGAGTACTAGACTAACTATTTCATTGATCTTGATCTTCCTATTTCTCTTGCTTTTGGGCAACAAAGCTTCATCTATCTGTTTATTTTATATTCTATGGATCCTCGAAATCGTTGCATTATACTCAGGTGACCGTTAAGGCCCTTGGGCCTCTTGAATTTATATGAGATCAATACCATTTAGTCCGGGGAGGTAAATATTTATCACCAACCCTCAAAGTGATCAAACACTAGTAATCTTTTTGTAAAGAACATTCTATTGTAGTCCATAAACGCACTATTTCACTCTTATTTCGAATGGAAAAAAACAAAGAGTTAGTTTAAATTCTTATATTTCCAAGGGAGTATGAATAGGATTACGTAGTTCCTTTCAATTTATAGGGGTTCCTGCTTGTTGTGCTCAATTTTTATTGTTAATTAGCTATTTGAGTATAATTACTGATCGTTATCATCACATTTGACGAACCTTCAAATACATATACAGTGTATCTCTGTTATAGATAAAAAAAAAAAAAAAGACAAACAAAAATAAACATCAGGGAGACTCTTTAAATATCCAAACATTTCACTCTACCTATTGTTTGACGCAGTTTTTGACATAGATTAATTTCATATTCACATTCTTTTGTACTTTCTTTTGTGCTATATTTTGTATTACCTGAGTGATTTCCTAATATAAGATAGATAATTCAGTGAATGACATTCAAAATGCTTCATTAACAAACAACAAACACAACACAATTATCTGGTCATACAATACAAAGACATACATTTCAAATACAGATAATTAACCACGGGTGTGTACAAAAGTACATCTGGAATTCATCAAAGTTGTGCATTATACAGAAAATGTAACAATTGATAGGTACAAAAGTTCATTAGGGTTGACCAAAATACAACCTAACAAGTGCCCTATTTCACTGAATTTACTAATAAGAGTCCCAATGTGGAGAACATACAATATCAACCAAGATATATTAACGTTGTTAAGATTTGTTTGGATTGAAAAGTGTTTTCAGAAAAAAAAATCAAAATGAATGCGATGTTGTGACCACTGACCATCTAATTTGCTGCTAGCTTCAGCATATTTCTGTAATTGTAAGGCAGTTCTAATGTTGATAATTATTCTCTCTTAATGTCAATCATATTGGGAAAACAACGAAAAGATGGAACATTCAATATTTATTAAATATACATGTACCTCATTCAAAAAAATGCAACAATATATCCAGCTAATATGAGATTTCAAATTTAATCGAATTTAAATTTGATTTAAAATTATCAGTTGGAGCCATTTACTCTTAACTTTATTAAATATATGGAACAATTGTTGACCCAGAAGTGAGTTTGCTTCCCTTTTTTTGAGATGCTAATGTGTAACAGTTTATTTATACAAGATAATATCTTAATGTAAAAAAAAAATGTTTTATATTGTTTGTACACTTAATGCATTTTGTATCTTCTCTACACCGTTTTTCAGTTATGAGAATAAAGCTCACTGTCATTTGATTATTTATTGTTTTAATTAAGGATCCTGCATTGTTTAATCTATGAAAGTATAAGGTCTTTCTTTTTTAAATGTAAAAGTTCTTGATGATTTCAATAATAGTTGTAAGGAAAAAAATAAATTATGTTTTTTTTATATTCAAATACTAGTATATGTTTTTCATATGCGAAAAAAAATCTTCCATTTCCTTTGTAAAAATGAAAAAGAAAAGCATATAAAATAATTAAGAGATAATATAAGTCTTTGAATGATAAAATCATAACTCAAAAGAGATGCATGTATTTTTTAACATAAAATAAGTTTTAAAATAGAGTAATTCAGACCATATGAAAACTTTGAAAACATCAAAAGAAACAGAATATATCATAAAGTAAGAACATTAGCTTAAGAAAATTCATTAGTTTACAACTTGTCTTGTTATATCAAATAATACATGTATTTATACGTGTACATTTCAAATCAGATCATATTAATATACTAAGTTTATTTTTTGAAGACAACACGTTCTTGTATGGTGTTTATGTCCTTATTACCAATTTGTATCAGTCGGAATCCATGTTCTTCTATTGTTTTCTTCTTTCGTTCGTATCCCCATCCTATACCTAAACCCTCACCGGAGGGGCCCGATAAACTCAACGGAAGGCACGAGAAGAGACTCAGAGGCAATTGCATCTGTGCTGTTGGATCATTAACTAGCTTGTGGGGATACGAGGATACGGGAGGGTCATATGTTGCTACATATCCATCTGGTTTAAGGACCCTCTTTGTCTCCTCAAGCATGGCGTCGACCTCGAACGAATCGTGAAGAACGTCGATAATTAAGACAAAATCAAACTTCTCTGTCCAATCCTCTGGAAGTTCTCCCCCTCTCCTACAGATAAATTGAACATCTTTCTTGTCACCCTTTGAGAGTTCTTTTTGGGCATGATCTATGGACACCTGGTCCATGTCAATACCATAAATGCTACTCTCAGGAAACAATTTAGCTATTTCTAAAGTGAACTTTCCGTAACCACATCCAAGATCTAGCAGAGTAAACTGGCTTCCTGGTAAAAAAAAATTGAAGAGTCAAATTAATTTTAAAGAATGAGAGCATAAGAAAATTGAAATCAACAAAACTCACCTAAATTTTTTTTGCACGTATATCCTTATTCAAAAATATTTATATGTGCCAATTTGTTGCTACCACCTTGTTTGAGTTCCAGCACTGGGATCAACAGATCTTTCATCCACTTTTGAATTGCTTCCGGTGTGAAAAATTGGCCCCACCAATGTAGGAAAGGCTCATAGCACCCGTAACCTTCGGTGACAAAATAAGTAAATAAGATTACACTTTTGCTATCTGAATTTGTGCATTATGTTTAATTAAATTTCTCTATTATTTGGAAACGAATTGAATCTTACAGCTTAGGAATATAAATTTTCATGTAAAACTTCTGGGGCCCTACAATCTCAAAGAAAATATAACTTCAATAAATTCATGTACACTTAAAGCTTAGTCAAAAGGTTTTCACTTATAACCCATTTTACGGATTTCAAAATACTTGTCAAAATAAGCTATATTTTTAAATAACAAATTTCTCTTAACCGAATCTTAT